TTCCGAGCGCCTGTGCAAAAAACTCTCGCTTTGGTGTGCTCGAAAAACATTGAATATCACCAAAGATTTTTGTTCAGCTGGCAGGCTAAGTTGATTACGGATTTTCTAGATGTATGGAAGGTGAACACTGTCGGCATAACGTGGTTAGCGGTGTGGTAAATGTCTCACTCGGCGGGAAAATTAAAGTTCGGATGACATTGACTGGTTTTCCCCTTATACAGCACTTGTGGTGGCAACAAGTTTCCGGCCATGGAAACACCAAATAGCACGGTGATTTCCCGCTTATCCTCTAACCCAATAATCAGGACTTGTTTGTCTCCTTCTTGGGCCAATGTCCATGAGCTCACAGGTACGATATGGACTCCAGTTTGATCAAAATTGATTACTAATTCGGCAGGTATTGCTTCGTTTGACACGGCTTCTGTAATGCATTCTAAGAATGACGGCTTAAGTTTGCCAAAATTTACTGGCAATTTTCTAGCCGCCTTTGTGCCCTTCCTTTTAACGAATCCCATACGACGAAGCAATGATTCTGACCATGTTAGTGTAAGTTGGATAGGTCCCCATTGATCTTGTAGAAGTGCATGGTTGTTCTGTAACACAATACCACGTGCAGCGGCCACAATGATATTTCTGTTCATGATACCACCAGCGTCTCTTAGTCCTTTTACGAACCGCTGAACTCTTAAATCGAGTTCGCCCAACAGAAGTGGTCGGCCCCGTTTTGCATGTGGCATGCTAGTTACGGGCTGCTTTGACTTTCGAAGTTCTTTTAAGTACGAATCTTTCATGGACTGAACTGTACTTTCGTTGACCTTTTTAGCCAAGACCACTGTAAAATGGCGGGCTGCTTTTGAGTTGCCATTTTCAGCTGCGTATTTGCTGATCTTCGCACGAAGTTCGGGACTGTAAAATTCATAGTGTCCACGTTTTCGCTTTTGACCACGCGGTCCAAGAGCTTCTAAAACTGGAGTTACTTCTTCATTTGCTCGTGTGGTTTCTTCAGCATTGTCGGTTCTTTTTGGATCAGGAAGCCCGGGCTTGGTTTGACCATCAGGATTTCGAATAACAAATCGCCACATTGTAAATGCTTGGAAGAGAAGAGTGCAGTGAGTATATCGTTTGGTTGTAACACGACAAGTGATGATCCATCCCAAAATCATGGCTTTTTAAGCAGATTTTTCATTTGACGGTGCCGATTTTGTCTGCAGTATTATTATTGAAACAATGGGAAAAAAAACGAGACACCTTCAACGTGTGAAATAGGAACGTTTTAGTGGATGGCCCCAGTACTGTTTTTCGTGACACGTTGTGATTAATCAGTATGGACATGTCTAGAGTTTCTCAAAGTGTGAATTTTTTAAGTGGTTTGGTGGAGACAACCCACCATTAAAAAAACTTAAGACACAGAGGGGATTATACACGAATTAACCCAGTATTACGCTTTGGTTGAAGGCGTGTAAGGCATTCGGTTGCATCTTTGTTTACATGAAACTTCATTGTTTCACGAATGGAACACCACACGAATAGAAAAACTTGTATTGAAAATTTAAAACAAAGAAAGCAAAATCGCGAACATTAGTCGTCGCAAATGTGCTCGAATTTACAAACTCGCAAAAATTTCTAGCCGTGAAATTTAAGCGGTTTACAGTATGATCACTAATGATTATACAGGTGTTGTTGCTAGAAAAATTATGAATGATGCTATAATGATGAATTGATTGAGGAAATATCAGGTTTCCATGGACACTGTCAAGGCTTCTAAAGTACCGGTAAAACAGATCTTTGTATACTAAACAATGTTGACGTTTTGTAAAAATTAGGTTTTTTACATGATTGCTAGAGACATAATTAGGTTGCTGGGGGACATAATTTTGGTTGCTGGCGACATAAATCTGGTTGCTAGGGGCATACCCACAAGAAACTAGCCAAGAGAATTTGCTTTTTTACCCACAAGCTCTGACAGAGGGTCAACATGAGAAGAAAAAAATGACTAGATTGATATTCCTACCTTTCAAAAAGTGTTCAATTTCATCTGAGACACTATTAGTAAATTTATAGTGTGCCAGCATGTTTAAATATCGCATCTTGTTTTGATTGGTTACAGGAATATTAGATCCATCTGGCAACAGTTCAACAATCTAAAAGTAAGAAAAATATGGAATTTTATTTTGCATTTTAAGTAGTGTTACCTTCACCCCCTGTCACCACATCTAGAGTTCCAATTACCTTGGAAACATTGTTTGGGGGAAAGTCAAAATTTAGTTGGAATGAAAATCAAGTCATAAAAAGGTTACTGTACTAAACAATGTCTATTAGACAAGGAACACTGTAGATGAGTTTAATAGAACCATTACATGCGTCAATGTTACATACCAATAGGATTTCGACCACACCAGAAAATATGGTTAATCATGATTTCAAATAATGATAGTATAGGAGTGATTATTAGTTTACCTTTTCAACTTCACCAAGTGAGTTATATTCTTCTTCAGCAAACACCAAATCTAAGTTGTCTACGTCATTTTCTTCAATGTATTTGATTTTGGTAACATAGGTATCAGGATCATCAGTTTCAAAATACTGAGACAAAAATATATTTTATTATTGTATTCAGATATGTATGGGAATCATATAGATAATAAGCTTATTATTGAGTGTAAACAACAGTTGTGGTTAGTATTTTGTGAACACAAAAGGTGTGTCACAGATATGACTCTGGAACAGCATTCGTTAATACATTCATCAAGGTCCTATCGTATTAAATGTATCAGGTAGGTGCCAAATTTGAATGAAATTTGCCCATGTACAACTGAGATTAAGTTCCGGAATAGTAGAAATGAATGATTTTGATGAATTGTTAGCACTGAAATGGCCACCATCTTGAAACAAATGCATGTGCATATATTAATATGATGTGTGAGTGAGTTTGGGAATTTTGAATGTAATTGGCCTCGGCAAGCCTAAGACATAGCTACAAATAGATACACATGAAACAGTCCCTGTGTTGAATCAGAGACTAATAATCACGTATTGCCTTTACAATCATAGAAAATACTGGCAATAAATTAAACCCAGTGATCATTTTCCTTTTTTTTACAGTCTCAACATGTTCCTAATCAGTAGATTGAATTAAGACTGATCAATGTAGTTCCCATCACAAGTAATTGAATCCATTGATGCAAGACAATTTTTTATAAAAAAAACACTTTATATCTTTGATGTTTCAATATAAGGCAAAAATCTGAAAAAAAAAATAATTCTGAAAAATGTTTGTTCTTGGCATGATTTAAATTCCAGAGAAAAGTTTCAATTTGATTGTGTTGAAAGTGAAATTTTAGCTCCATAATCAGGCCAATTTTTTTTCTCAAACACAACACCTATTTTGTTTTTGCCTACATAGGGCAAAAACACAAGATTTTTTAATGGATTTGTTAAAAAGTATTGGATAATCTTAATAATTAATGGTTTAGCAGTAATGCAGAAGTGTTTATCTTTGGGTGTATTTCAATTACTGTAAAATATTTTTTTTTGCTTGGAATTAATTTTTGCTTAAAGGAATGATTCAGTGAAAATAAAATCCAACGAATATACTTTTTTTCGTAAATTTTACATTTAACTGATCAAAAATCAGTGAAAAAAAAAATCCATACATAACACCCAAAAAGTGAAAATTAATTCCAGCTAAAATAAAGTATTTCACAGTATCTGATTTCATATACATATATATTTGTCAGCACATTCGCATATAAAACACATGTAGTAAGGATGAATGACCTACCCTGTAGTTAACTCTAAGTCCAATTAACTGTGCTAAGAATGATCTAGTGAATCTGGCTTTCACTAACTGTCTGTATCCAAGTCCCATTGCAGATTCATACAAACATTTACCCACTATCTTGCCTGCAAACTCAAAGTACTTCTGTTTTGCTAGATGATGTGGTCTATTAGGGTTTGGATGCACCTAGAAAACACACACAGAGTAGCTTTTAACATATATAATTATTATTATTATTCACAGACCACAATGAAAACACACTAAATATATTGTCTATTTTTTAATACTTCTAGATATCAAAATGTACCTTGTATTAAGACACTTTATATCATTTTTTCAACATATGTGACTGAGCAAAATTTTTATATTGAGATATATCATTGCCATAGAAACAATGTTAAAAAGCCATAAAACAAAACATGCTATTTTCACTGTACTTTATTGATCATTTTCTCTGAACTGAGTATATTTTTATTTCACTTTCTTAATTTTTGTAATCATGATACATCAATCATATTTCATTCTACTTTAACACATTTGGCATGCTGTAATGCTACTACTGGACAATTTTGAATGATAGATGCATGTGAAAATAAGAAATCCATATAATCACGCAGTATGGAAATTTCAAATTACAAGATTACAACAAATCAATCGGCATGCTGTAATGCTACTACTGGACAATTTTGAATGATAGATGCATGTGAAAATAAGAAATCCATATAATCACGCAGTATGGAAATTTCAAATTACAAGATTACAACAAATCAATCGGCATGCTGTAATGCTACTACTGGACAATTTTGAATGATAGATGCATGTGGAAATAAGAAATCCATATAATCACGCAGTATGGAATTTTCAAATTACAAGATTACAACAGATCAATCGGCATGCTGTAATGCTACTACTGGACAATTTTGAATGATAGATGCATGTGGAAATAAGAAATTCATATAATCACGCAGTATGGCAATTTCAAATTACAAGATTACAACAGATGAATTGACATGCCGTAATGCTACTACTGGACAATTTTGAATGATAGATGCATGTGGAAATAAGAAATCCATATAATCACGCAGTATGGCAATTTCAAATTACAAGATTACAACAGATCAATTGGCATGCTGTAATGCTACTACTGGACAATTTTGAATGATAGATGCATGTGGAAATAAGAAATCCATATAATCACGCAGTATGGAAATTTCAAATTACAAGATTACAACAGAATCTTATCACATATCAACATAATACATAACCTTTGGTCATGCGAGAACAATCCGACGTAAACACATTTTTCAAGTGTATCTGCTAATGATGTGAATAAAAACTTACTAGTCCCTGGTTGTCTTCTTTAAATCTAGTAAATAAATGATTTTCTGGAGAAAACAAAGCCAAACACAAAATTTCAAACCATTCTCTTCTAACTCCACCCCAATCAAGTCCTTCTTCTCCAACAAATGTTATCTCCATGTGTTTGCACCAATCAGAAGTTGTGAAATACTTGGTAGCCTTCATAGACTGAAAGGAAAAAAAAACGATAAAACAATGCTTGAGAAAGGACAGACTATAGTTTCATAAATTGGTAAGATTACAGTTCCTACATTTCAGACACTAAAAATATAGCTTGTGTAGATGTTCTAATAAAAGCCACATTCTCGCTTTTACATTGTACTATTTTAATAGAAGCTGCAGCTTCTAATACATATTTTGCAGTAGTTTTGTCTGGAAAAAAGAACAATTAAAGGCAAATTTTTTTTAAACCATTACATTTTTGTTACTAGAAGAGTACAGTAATTCATACTGTAGTTTGAAAGAATTTGTGAAGATAAAATTTCGCCAAACTCACTATGACTCCCTAGGACCCGAGAAAAATATTCAAAGTGATTCACTAAGACAGGAGAGAAATGTTCACTATGACTCCCTAGGTCACCGGAAAAATGTTCACTGTTACTCTTTAGGACCCCCAAAGAAATATTAATTAACTCTGCCTGCGGCATCATTTCATTTTATGATGAGAATTGAGAATGAAGGAGAATATACAAAACTCACACTTTCTAAAATTTCAGATCTTTTGATTGTCAAGTTCATCTTTGAGCGATTTCTTCTAGTGTGAATTTGTCTCACTTCACGAAAGAAAAAATCCTGCTTATCATGAAAGGTTTCCGATCCACCTAGAACAGAATCAAATATTAGTAAATCATATTTGCTCTCCTACCGTAGTAGCATATGCACTTATGTAAATGAAAAGGTCAAACTAGGTCAAATTTTAATGATCAAGTAACAATAAATACAATTTTATTACAGATGTACTTATAATACAGCAAATATGGTAATATGAATTACTTTATGTTAGTTAGTTTCCTGCTTGAAACTGCAATAGACCTTGGACATGTAGATCTTGTTGAGAGTGAGAGTCACCATTGTTACATAGGTGAGGAAAACCATGGACGCGACTGAAGGGGAGAATGGAAAGCTATTTAAGGGAAAAAAACAAGTTATGTGCCACTCTTGCTCTCAATAACATCTGGACGGCCATTTTTCATCTACAGTCTAACATGTTGACAAAATATATAGTTACTTTCCAGATTTGCTTCTTCACTCAATTAGTGTTCTATTCTCTGTTGTCAATATGTCCACCATTTTAAGTACCATGGTTACTTAGGTCAGGAGAGAATAGAATGATATTTGAGGAGTCATGTGCCACTCTCGCTTTCAATGAGATCTGGGCGGCCATTTTTGGTCTAAGGTCTATAATGGTTGACAAGCATAATGTGAAGGTGGAAATATTTTTTACTAATTGAAGTATTGACTGTAAGTAAAACTGACTTACCAATATTTTTGAGAAGGAACTGAGTAAACGTTGCAGCCAATATATCCCTCTCCTTGCTAGCCAATTCTAATTGTGGCTGTGAACCATCATCAATTGTGAACATAGGATGCCCAGATTCGTTGTTTACTCCAAAAAATTGAAACTGTAGAGGATAATAATAGAGTTTTCATTTTATATTCATCATGGTGATTCGTCAAAATATAGTCATGAGGTATGGTAATAAAACAAAGGATAATAATGAAAATCTAGTGACTTGGAGGATTTCCTTATTTTTTCATGACAGTGTTTACAAAAACACAAAATGAAAGGTAAAGTAGTTCTAACATATGTTGTACTTATTTATTCGGTATAATAAAACATATACTGGTTCACTTTTAACAACATGAAGAGGAATAATAACCTTGGCTGTACCTCAGTCAATAATTTAATTCTATTTCAGGTCATTAAAACTCAATATTAACAATCCCTTCGGTAACTACCTGTTTAATATTTGTAAAATTAACAAGCCATGACATACTTAAACCATTTTCACTGCTATAAATATGATTATTTGAGACAAAATTTCTTGAAAATCATAGTAACACTTTGTATTAAAGCCACACTGCCACTCAAATTTCACACATCTGCAAATTCGATCGTTTTTTTTTTCTCGCTAGATGGTCTTTATGGCTGTAAAGTGAAAAACATGGTCATAACTAGTAATTTATTATCACAAATGCCTTGAATTATGAATAATTATTTTTTTTATATACTAGTTTGCCTGTAAATATTCAACAGATTTTAGCAGCTTTCTGAAAACTGGTTTCTATTTAAACATTCATACATTGTAGTTACGCGAGTTTCACACATGCAGTTATATGCAAATTATTTTTGTTTATATTTTATATGTAGCTCCTTGCTGATAGAAATTTGATGCAATAATTTGACTGTTAAAGAGAAGTGATGTGATTTGTGATGACAAAAATATTTTAAATGACAACAAAGTTAATACTGTAATTTTCTATCTCCTGGTGTCATTTTTATTTTGTGCCTTTCATTTTCTCAGCAGGCTTTTAATATAATAAATGCAATTTTTTATTAGAGATAGACTTCTAGCAGTAGTCATTAAATATTTAATACTTCTAGATATTAAAAAATACCTTGTAAGAAAGTATACTGTGGAATACTTTATTTTCGCTGGAATTTATTTTCGCTGAAAAGGCTTTTTGGGCGTTTTGCTTGGAATTTATTTTCACTGATTTTTGATGAGATTAATGTAAAATATAGGAAAAAATGTATATTCACCGGATTTTATTTTCACGGAATCATCTCTTCAGCGAAAATAGCGAAAATAAAGTCTTCTACAGTATATCTTTTTTTCCACCATATGTCATCAAGCAAAATTTTGAGATATTGTGACACAACATGCAATTTTCAATTTTGTTTATCGATTTTCTCTAAACCAAATATGGCCATCCATATTTTTATTCTATTTTTTTCATCTTTGTGACATGAAATATCAAATATGTAAAAATGAAGCAAATAACAATAATTTTTACTTCTGTGCAGCATTCTATCTTAACAAAGTTAATGAAATAACATACTGTAGAATACTTTATTTCACTTGGAATTAATTTTCGCTATTTTCGCTGAAGGAATATATTTCACATGCAACTCATTAAAAATCAGTGAAAATAAATTCTGTACAAAACAGCCAAAAGGCATTTTCAGTATTTTACAGTAGATCATGTATCTCATGCAGTACCATAGAGGGCGCTATTCAATATATATCACCTTGATGACACAGACATACCCGGTATATCATTACTTTTCTTAATTGAAATGTGTGCATATTTTACTTGTATATGCGAATTGCCAAGATATGTTGTTAATACATAATATTTGACCCAAACAAAAGGTTGACAAAAGGTAACAGTTAAACTGACACATCATCCAAACACATGTTAGATTTTAATAAAAATTAATATGTAAATTTTGATATTAAGCTTTTTAGTTTGCACATAGGTTTGTATTGGAGAGATAATTGACATATGGTAAACTGGTAAAAATCGCTTGCATGATCATGTTGATTTATTCAAATAATACCCAATTTCATTTGACACAGAAATAGCTAATGATATCACTGTTCGACACAAACACAGATAAAAGGGAGCTTGGTGCAAATTCCTCTGGCTTGAGAGTAATTCAGACATGAAAATAAAAATGAGAAATATTTAAGATTAATTACAAATTTAAGATTAGTCTATAAAACAAGAAGTCTCAGGTCTTTGAGATGCACAATGTGAAAGCAATTTTATAATCAATGAAAACAAAGTTTATAATATTAGATACATTCATTGAAATCTAGATGAGATCAGTAGAAAAAGGGGAAATTGGACATAATTTTATGAAGTTAATGAATTAGATGTAATTTAATGTAATTTGCCTTGGCACATGTGTAAAAATTACATTGTTTGCAAACCAATTGAGTGAAACTACCTATACTATATGGTAATTAACTACCTCTCTGCATTTAATGTAAATAATAAAATCTGGAGTCTCACCTTCGTTGCTGGGCACACTCTAAATGTATAAAGTCTCTTGGGTATTATCCTTAAATAGAATTCTTTGATTGTAAGTTGTTTAGGAGATATGTAACAAAACACTTTTTTCAGCTTTCTATGTCTTTCATTGTTTGACCGAAGTAAATAGGCTTCATACCAAATATTAAGACTCTTTTTGGCAACATTCTTTTTCACCTTGCCAGCATCAGTTTCTATTTGAAAATAGACACAATATTGGATTAGTTTTCATGAAGGATAGGAAGACAATTATTATTATCACTCAAAGGATGGGAAGACAATTATCACTCAAAAAATAGTAAGACAATCCTCGGGAGTGGAGCTACGTCAGAAGACGTTCCACATTGCTAAGACGTGCACCACTTTACCATGTATTTCTATGGGCTTTGTGCGCTGCTGAGGAACGTGAAACGCCGAGCGAAGAGCCGGTGAAAATTCGAGAAAACTCAACTTTGAAGTAATTCTGAATAATCAAATTTAAATGCGTTACAACACGCAGGGGTAATCTTGTTACACTGTTCAGGGGAGTCTCAACAACCATCCCATAGTACCGTTTTCTGAGACCATGATCCCTCAATGGCATTCACACAATTATGGAGCAATTCATTACACAAACAATTCAGTAAATTCTGTGCTGCTAAAGTAGTTGTGATTTGATAATTTGATGGCATTTCTAAAAACAAAAATTCACAAAAGACTCCCTGGTTACGGAATCCCAGTAAAAGCATTTTACAATTAATACTTGTGATACTCAACCAGACATGTAGCATTTTCACCAACAATTTGATTTGATACATGAATATACAAGTGTAATTTTTTTTAAAGACCTCCATAAATCCACATCAAATGTGTGAAAATTAGGATCTTACACTGATGGAGAATGAGTACAAATGTATTAGCATATTAACTGTAAATGAATACTGTAAAACACTTTGAAATAGCTGCATACCAGTTGACAGACTTTGACTTCATGCATGAATTGACTGAATCTTAATTTTGCTAAAGCGCCAAACATCATACTGTGAAAATATACTCTATTCTAATTAGCGACATCTTAATTTAGCAAAATTACAGATTAGCTAAATTAGCTAAAACAAGCTATGCATGGCACAGTCCCTGTTAGTTATCAAATTTAAGATATATAGTTTTGGAATATAAACATGTCAGGAATATTATTATGATGATTGTTTAACATTAAAATGATTGACATTTGTATCTGATCTGAGTATTGAGAGTTTTTGCTCTGGAACAGCATTAATAAAAACAAAATCAGCCATTTTTAATACATGTATAATGAATATATAAAATTTGAACATAATCAGTCAAAGCATGTCAGAGATATGGCTCTAGAAGCCCATTTATTAAGACAAAATGGCTGCTAGTCAGCATTCTGAATCCGATCTGAAAACATAAGTCTCCATTTTCGAACTGATAACGTGCTAGCTAAAAAGCCATGTTTTACAGTATTTAAATGACAATACTCTGTAAACATATATTTATGTTTACATGAACAAATTTACAAGTTGGAGTCAATGACCCTATAAGTAGTTCGTAATAAACATAGCTCTTACCATTAAGTACAAGAATATTAAATTCTCCATTTTTAAGTGTTTTGCCTTGATAAGTAGCTAGAGCTTTGTAACATCCTGTATGAGGCATTTTGATATGTACCATGATTTTATTTTTAACTTCATCTGTGACTTGCCATACTGGTGAAAATGTTTCTGGTTTCAGTTCCCCTACCTGTGAGGAAATTTAACACTCAATATTGAAATACAATTTTTTTTACCATTATTGGCAAGTATTTAATATCAAATAATATACCTCAGATACAGCATCTATATTTAAATACCTGCTCCTCAAAGATATAAAGAAAAAAATCAAACAGTGATTTACAATATTAACCCAAATTACAATACATGTACCAAATCGCATTACCCAAGTGACATATATCAATGATAGGGGGAATAATCCACTATTATTTCCCTAATTATTACTGTGATATTCGTTTGTATAATTGATTCAATATTATTCAATTGTGACCCCGTGCTTTCTTGAATTTCATATATTTAATTTAATTGTCTTAATTACATGTTAAACTCAAGGAGAACTAGCACACATAACGAAAGCAGACTCCATTTCAAGGCTATTCTCTTATTATCCAATCATAGCTCATAGTGCTCATAGCACTATGAACCAATCAGCACCAAGTCCGCCGAAATTTGCTACGGTAGCCGATTCTACCAAGGCTATAACAGGCCTGAATACTTTTTTTAGCAAGCGAGTACATGTAACCCTTTCCAGTGACGAGTAATAAAAGTAACTATTTGACATCGTTTACTTGTTTCCTGTTTCTTTGATTGACAGTCCCTTGCCTTGAACTTTGCACTTGTTAATGAGTCTCAATTCACCTTAAGATATATCCAGGTTACACTATAAAGAGTGGTATTACCTCAGTTACTTGAATTTCATATGGATTATCAAAAGTGGACGCAAGTTTCTGATCACATATATTTCCAAATTCATCCCTTGGTTCAATCGCTAATTCATTGAACTCTCCCTGAGTTACAACAAATGTTGAACTATGCTGAAGAAATGACGTGTTAGAAGCAACTACCTCTCCTGTAAATAGAAAGTCAAACATACTGTAGAATATTTTATTTTCGCTTGGAATTTATTTTCGCTATTTTCACTGAAGGGATGATTCCGTGAAAATAAAATCTAGAGAATATACTTTTTTTCCCATAGTTCACATTAAACTCATCAAAAATCAGTGAAAATATATTCCATACAAAACGCCCAAAAAGCCTTTTCAGCGAAAATTAATTCCAGCAAAAATACAGTATTCCACAGTATTAGAAAAGAAGCATCAGTGATCTAAATGACTTTGATGGACATATCATGGAAACTTCAAGGACCAGAATATATTGTCAGTTTCCAGGACTGGAAGACAGCAAGAACCATCTAACCAATATCTAACGTTGCCAGGACTGGAATATTGCAAAGACTGGAATATATTTCCAGTTTCCAGAACTAGAACACAGGAAAGACCAGATATTAAGTTCCTCAAACTAAAATACAGCAAAGACAGCAATAGATCTTGGACTAAACTGCATTACATAGTCACAGTATAATTAGATAAGCTTGAACATAAATAGTTAGGGCATGTCTGAGATATGAATCTGGAACAGCATTTATTAAAAAAAATATTACTGGCCGCCATTCGGCCATCTTGAATCAGACAAATGGATGTGCATAATTTCAAGATGCATGATGTAAGAGTGATTTGAATATGGGAATGCACACACGCACGAACACATATAGGTCAATCCATAAGTCCCATTTCCGAGATGTGTCCAAACAGGGAAGAAAATAATAACTATAATAAAATCACACAGATATATGATTTCAGATAAAGCTTGATACAGGCATGTGCGTCTAATAAGAAAATTGGGGAAAAGTAATTATAAAATATCAACAAACCAATTCAGGCAATGAATTCTGAAGGTCAGCATGGGATTTCAGTCTTAATATATAATTTAATGTTCTTACAAATACATCCCAAGAGCAATCTAAACTATTTCCCACTGGTCATATTGAATAGTAAACTAAAGAACGTTGATTCACACTTAAACTCACTAAAAATGCAGACCGAATAACTTCTCATCAAAATTGCATATGTATCTTATGTCATTGTGTGTAAATGAAATTTTATGACATTAAAAATAAAAATTGCTTTTATTAATTAAAAATGTTTTAAAACCATCTTTATTCCCCCCCAAATCTTGCTCTTCAAATAATATTACTTATAATATATTAATATTGATTATTATTTTTTGCCAGCAATGTTTACCATTAATACGTATTTGTATACAGAGACTTGTAAGCAATAATAATAAGATATTGTAAATGAGATATGACACTGTCAAATCATTACAAATCCCTACTACAACTGTACTAAGCTGAAGTGTAATATTCTGAAATCTACATCACTTGAAGTTTGAAATGAATCCTAAATAGTTATCTAGCAAAAATGATGAGATTGTACAATTGTGACCAAGATAATTTGGTACAAAGCCCTACGGCAAAAATTCTAGAATCTGTCTTCATTACACCATTACTCACAAAACTACTAATCCCAAAATAACATGTATAGCTTAACATATTACTCACCTGGGTTGACAGTTTTCTCAAATGGACTTCCGCAGATATCAACGCCTCCTAGTTTTACAGATACCGCATACCGGCCTGCTCTATGTACGGTGTAAGTAACTTTAGCCATATTGGACGATTTCTCTGCTTCGCTACCTATTTCCACAATGGGATCAATTTTATGATCACCAAGGTGTATATTCACACTGAGGTTGTCTCGGCTTGATATTGGATACCGTGTACCATTGTTTCTATGACACTGCAGAGAAAGCAGCGTGTAAATAGTTAGATGATTCATGGGCGCTATCAAATAAGAGACATTCAGTAGTCTATAACCTTCAACTTAATGTCATGTTGGTAAATAATCCAATATAACTAACCAGTCAATGCCCTTCAATTTTCAAAAGAATGTCTCCGACATGAGCATATTACATGTGCTGACTATTTAATTTAATTACTGGTGAGCCCATAGCACTTGAGTAAACACTAAGAGGGTAGGATGATAATTTTTAATCATTTGAGGTTAAGCAAGGACGTTAAAAGCTTTCACCCCAGATTCATGATTCATGCCTCATCCTAGAGTTCATTAAATCTAATATAAATCACCTGATAAATTGATTCTAAATATACATATAACGTTTCATGAGAACTTGCCTGACAGTTATTTTGATTTATAACCACCCTATTTGACGTCATACCAGCGGCCCTGGCATTTTGCGGGTTTCCTGACAGCGCACACATCTAACAAATTAGTTTTGAGATAACAGTAAGTCATTCACCTACTGATCTTTTAAGCTGATTAGATCACGGCAGGTGAAAACATTTAAAAGTGTAAGCAATCAAAATATACCTAGTAATATGATAGTGAACCTTATAGATCTTTCCTTATTAGTGAGTACGTATATGTAATTCTATACTTTAACCACTTACACATTACACATAATAATTCGATTTTTTGATAAACAAGTAGAAGTAAAAATTTACTAATTATTGTTCTGATAATTCAAGACAATTGAAAACGAAAATTAGTGGAATGTTTTTTAGCTGTCAGAAACAATTTCATTTAATCAATGTAAATGTGTTTTTTTTTCCTTCTTAATGTGTATATTTGCACAAGTATTATTTGGATAATTAGGACAGTGTAACTTTGCGAGTGTGACTCATTGTAAAGTTGAAAATGTGTAGTAATATCCGGTGTTTTATTACTATAAATATTTGTTAACAATACATATTTTTGATTATTATTTGTCTGGTTATTTAGATTCCCTTGCAGGGTGGTCTATGGACAATTTTATGAAAACCCAATATAGGTATAGGCTTTCTTTTTTACAAAAGATATAATTTTTTTTTTTATTTTTGTTCATCAACATTTTTTTATTTTTTTTATTTTATTTCAGTTTTTCATATCAAATTTTTGTATATACATGTATGTATATAAAAATAAACAATAATATAGATATTGTAGATAAACAAGAATAATAATAAATAAAATATTTTGTGAAAAATAATCAGTATAGCAGTGTTAAAATCAATATTACTTACACTGATAGTAAATGTTAGTGTATCTCCGACAACGGGTGTATCAGACCATCCCCACTGAACCCGACACTTATTCGGATCAAGAAAACTACCAATGATATAATTCAGAAAGCTTGCCGAGTTTAGTCTCGTTTGCGGAGTTCTTCTTGAACGTGAAGTGGAAAACAGCAATCGAGGGTTATCCAATAAATTCTTGCATATGATAATTATTAATATTGGTAAAAGTATGACAAACAGGATGATACTGAAGATAATGCTGACTGTGAAGACAAACAAAACATAAAATATGCATGCATAATTAACTTCTACTACAACAATACCAAGCTATGCTAATTGTAAATGTTCTGCTACACACTAGTCTGACATAAAACCAATTGAAGCATGTAATACGAGATATCCCGAGAATACTGCAATGTGCAAACGAATGTATGAAGGTAAGGCGATTGTATCAACCAACACGTAGCAGAGTGCCAGAGTGCTTTCTTACAATATTCTTGTGATGTACATATTTTGACTGTATTATTATTTTAAAGAGATACAACATTTTCCGTTTTTGAGCTGTGCAAACCTCTGCTAAGGATTCTATTTCTGCCACAATTTATATATCTTCTGTGTTCAATGTGAACACATGAAAGTGTACAAAATGACATCAATAATCCTGAATGTGTCAATGTCAATTGGGGATGTAGTTTACGCTAAATTAGGGCAAATTTGAACAGTGCACATACATTTTTGGAACAAATGCAGATATAGCGGTAATACGGTATTAGATGTATAATAATAAGTATTATGTTAACTGCGATTAATTTTCATGAATGAAATTTTCATAACATAACTGATACAGGATGTAAACAAGCAGCCTGTCGGCTGAGATAGCTCCGCTGTTAGCAATGCACATGGCAATTAAAGAACAGAAGATATCATTAGAAAATGAACAAATCTGAGAGAGGTCCACATGTAGTACCTATATGTATAATATATCAAAGCAATTGGACTTGCGGTTTTCAACAAGAAGTCGAAAATATCACTTTTTACCAAAAATTACAAAAATATTCATCAAAATTAGAGAATTAAAGATATCATTATGAAATGAACAAATCTGAGAGAGGTC